CAATTGCACCTGGCAATGCTGCTTCTAGCTGTCAGTGCTTAGATGTTATCAAGCTGAAAAAATGAACGCAGAATTCCAACATACTGTCATCAAATGTCTTTCTGTTATGAATTTAAATTGTCCTTTTGAAACTTGTATTGTGTTCATTTCTATCTCCATCATGACCTAAAAATAAAGTCTATGGCTTTTACTTCTAATTATTTACCAGGCTAGAGACAAGATGTTGTCTAAATCAAATTCTGTCTCATCACATGACTATGTTTTAGCTTAACTTAACTGTAATATGTTCTTTCTACATTTCAAACCCCACTTACTCTAATATCTGTTAAGAAATCCACATTACAAAATGGTTTCATCATCACAGGTCAACTTCTTTGGTATTCCCCTTCTGGACTTACATCTCTCACAGAAGCCCCTTGGCCACTGCTTCTGCATCTGTGTTACCTGTTATAACTCAATCACTATTTAGAAACATGTCAACATTCATCAAACAGTATCTTATCCCCAGACATGGAGCAGGTTCATTCTAAAACCATCATTCAATGCTCAGTTTGAACATCTGCGTTGGGGCGGCAGGTTTCTTTCAATCCCTAAATGAAACATTTAGATTGTGAATTTGACCATGTTGACATTATACATTATACACACTCGCGTCTATGTTGTTACACATGAACTCATGTGTAACAACATCTTGTATGGGGAGAAAACCTTTATTTAAATAATTGGACTCTTTTGTAACTTAAAGAGTTAGTCAACTGTTTTTAGAGATGCATTTTGTTCCAAGAAGCTAAAGCTGTTAAGTAAATGTATTGGAGTGGAGGTATAAAGTAGCATACAATGGAAATACTCAAGTAAAGTACAAGTATGTCACATTTGTGCAGTTACTTTCCACCTCTGAGTGATCAGTCACAACAGGAGAGTCAGTAAGCAGTCTGCACTGATCTATGACTGAATGTGGGTCATTCTTATCTGTCAGTATGAGATGCTCTATGAACAATTCTCTCACCATGACGTCCCTCATCAGGTGAAGCAGGAGAAGCAGAAATACTGAACCTGCGTCTCTGAGATGTGCCAGAACAACAAACACAGCTTTTTATGAACAACAGGTGACTGTCTATCTTTAGATCTGATAACAATCAGCTGCAGTTATTAATCACGGTGAAATCTACACACTCAGAGGCTCGGTTATACTTTAATCAAAACCTGTCTTGGTGATGATGGTGAAGCCGTTCTGTTTCTCTCTCTCTGTGGATCTAAAAGGAAAGAAGCTCCTTACAGCATTCCTGATATACAGCCAATGTTAGTTGTAACTCAGTTACATGTTACTGCTGTAGATGTGTTCAACTCCTTTAAATAATATTAGCAATTTTCATATAAATGTTTTTGAGAAAAGCTTTCTTACTAGTGTAACGTCCGAGGTGTTAAGGCTTCAAGAATACTTCTGTGTAACAAAAACTCAGGAACTTAGTACTTTTTGGAGCGTCACAGATGCCTCCGTTTATTTAACGTCGAGTCACACCACACCATTTCTCTCACCACTCTAGCACAGACTGCGCATGCTCACAACACATGACCTCTCAACCCAATGCTTACATGCGTCCCCCCTTACTGAAAGAAATGTCCCCATTTCCACACACATGGTGAGAACACAACAAAACATTAAAAAAACAATACAACCACGAAAAACCCCAAAAACATAACAAACCACACACTACCCTGCAGAATAATACATGCAGGCATGACGTACATTCGAAAAAAAAAATCTTTGAATAAAAACAATGACAAACAAAACACATCCACAGCCCAAATAAAACATCAAACTAGGTATGACATAACCTATTCCCCTGTCCTGCACACTCGAAACATGAAAAAAAACAATTATGCAGCATAGAATACACAGGAGAAAATAATCACACAAGCACGTAAACACCAGTCATTCAGCCCATAACAAAGTCCAAAAATCGGACAGGAGGCCGCGCTAACCTCCCAGCCCGGGACACCGTCGGTGCGGCTTGTTCGAGCTCAGGGGAATCACCAGCCCCAGAACCCGGCCCAAGATCACAGCCACTTTCCCCATCGGAAAACCTCAAGCGTCCAGAGCTCTGTGGGGAGACTGCATCTTGCAACGGAAGAGGCTGAGAAAGGTGTAAGTGAGACCTTGATGGTCCCTCCAAGGGAAAGGCTACCGGCAGGTTGTATCGCCGTAGTCTGTCGTAATGGACAGTTTGGAGAGAGGCTTCATCCCCAAACGGGCTACTTAGTTGGTACGTGACCCCCACTTCATCACCCCTATCCATTCGCCTCTGCACCAGATAAGGCCCCTTCCAGTGGGGAGCCAGCTTACGGCGGCTCTCAGTGGGATCATTTAAACCACACCAAATCCCCGACTTCATACGGGTCGTGCCTCACTCTGGCGTCATAGTACGACTTCTGTTTGCTGCTTGCAGCAAAATTGTTATCCCTTGTCTGATAAAACGCCGTGTCCAAGCGTCTGAGAAGGGAACCAGCAAAGTCTTCCCGGGGACCCTGCACCAGATCATCCCGCTTTGGACCCAGTAAAACATCCACAGGAGTCCTGGCCTCCCTGCCATGCGTGAGAAAATACGGCGTGAAGCCTGTGCTGGAATGTACACTGGTATTGTACGCAAATGCGACCTGTGACAGAAAAGAGTCCCACTCCCCCTCACATGATAGAAGAGATTTCGCCAACTGATCGATAAGTGTCCTATTAAACCTCTCTACCATGCCATCAGACTTCGGATTGTAAGGCGTGGTGTGCGTCTTCTTCACACCTAACACGCCGCACAAATGCCTCACAACATCTGATTCGAACTGTCTGCCCATATCAGTGTGCAGAGTTTCCATTACCCCATGCTCCAAGATGTAGTTCTGGAAGAGACACTCCGCGACCGTCGGGGCTTTTTGATCGGGGATGGCATACAGATTTACAAATTTTGTGAAATAGTCCTCAACAACCAACACATACCGGTTGCCTTTTGATGTGACCGGCAACTCTAGTATGTCAGCCGCCACACGCTGGAAAGGTCTAACTGCATGTGAAGTTCTCATGGGGGCATGGTGTTTAGGCACCGGGGACTTCCTTCTCTGACAGGCATAACATTGGTCACACCACGAACGAATGTCACTGTGCATGGAGGGCCAATAGCACACACTTCTTGCGCGTGCCAAAACGCATGACCTCTCAACCCAATGCTTACACTAGTTTGAAACATTTGATATTTGTCAAAGAAAATTCAGCGTATAGTGCTGACAAATCGAATCTCATGTCGCATTTCAACTCAATGAAATACTGATTTATTGTTTAATCTGAAGCAGCATCATGTTCTATAACATCATTTTACAAACTGTGGGGCTCGCGGAGGTTTGCGGAAGCTGTTCAATCCATAATAACAAATACAATGAGCTGGATCTTTGTGTCTTGTTATTATTAGCAGAGGAAATGTAATGTTTGTACAACTATACTATAAATCCTACCAATCTACGTGGGAACCAGGTTGGGGGGGGGGTCAGAAATATTTCCAATTACCCAATGGGGACATGACAGAAAAGTTTGGGAAACTCTAAAAGTCAACTTTTCATGAGTTTCTCAGAAAAACTGTGTTCAGATTGTGAAGAGAATGATCTAAGAGGCTTTTTAAAGACTTAGTTTAAGGTTAACAAGAAAGAGATGTTTCTCAACACATAAAGGAAATCCGCCTCTAAGCCACGAACAACTGCAGAGGAAAAGGGACTATATGTATAATCTGACTCACTCATCGCAAGTCACAACACAAAGCAGAGTGTCTTTTTTTTTGTCTTGCTACTGAGAAACTTTTCTTTCTAAAGGGAGGGAGCAGGTGGCATTATTTACATGTTCCTCTTTACCAGATGAAGGGTAACCTCAGGGTCAGTCTCCACATGTTTCAGTGTTTCCTCACAGCAAGTAAAGGACTGACCTGAACTGTTAAACCAAATGTTTGTGATTATTCTTTTTAAATGGTATATTGTCATTGCAGTGGTGCAGCTACTGAGATAACTCAATGCAGTTCAGCATCTAACCAGAGGTTACATATGTCTATGCTAATAAGATACAGTAGACAGTAAGGGAAGATATCTGCAGGACAGTTTCAGCAGTACTAATGTTCCACTTCTCTCAGTAAATGAATGGTTTCATTATTTTATTCCAGAATGGAGCAACTGTTAGGAATTCCCTCAGGGGATGAATAACGTTTTTCTGACAAGTCTTTGCATTTCATTGGCTCTGTTGATAAACTGTTACACAAATCGTAAAATCTTCACAAAAACAGACCGTGGTTTTCACTACAGCGGTATTAGGAATCTGCAAGACTCAAACTCAAAAGCTGTCTCACAAAAGTGTGTGCAGTAACAACTGAACCAAACATACTGACTTTCACCTTCAATACGAAAACCACATATCTGAAAAACTGGAGTCACGATCACTGGATCCTCCACAAGTGTCTTCTCTCCTCGCCACAAAACAAATATCCAACTGAACGCCACCTGCATGAAATGTTTGAGATTCTTCTTTTAACTATGTTTAAATGTATTGTTATTGTCAGTTTATTCCTTTGAGTAAGTACAATAAATCATATTCACAGTCGGTGTATAAAAGAGGGACTCTTGCTGGATAATCACGGAGCAAAGTACCAGACGGGGAATTGGACATGTTGTGACATTTCATACAGATCCTTCACGGTGTTTGTGACTCACTGCAGGTCTCTACCTGTTGCTGGATCCTCTCTCTCTCTGCAGGAAACAGAAGAAGATCTTTATCAGCACAGAAAGTGGAACTGTGGATTTACTAAATAAAGTTCAGTGCTTTAATAGT